CTTCCTTCCTTCCTTCCTTCCTTCCTTCCTTCCTTCCTTCCTTCCTTTCTCATATTTATATAGCCGCCCATCTCACACAAGGTGACTCTGGGTGGCATACAACAATTAGATTTACCTTGCGAAGGAACGTGCTGGCCCGGCCCTCCTGGTTGCTCCAGGTGGTGAATCTGGCATGTCTGACCTGTGACCGTGTAGCCAGAGGGATGAACAAGAGCAAACTGATGGGTGGTGACCGTTGGCTCTCCGAATGGCCTCACTAGTATTATCCTGCTGCTTTCTGTAAAGCAATGAAACGGTTTGACACTCTTTCCCATTTGGTGTAACTTCCTTCCTTCCTCATGAAATACCTGCGCTGAAGACTCAGAGTGAAAAAACCAACACCAATGCAGCGTTATGATATTGAGCCGGACCACCGGCAGGAGCTGCATGTGGTTGCAGCTGCGGTCCCCTAGGCGGCCAGCAGCGTTGGGCAGTGGGTGCTGAAGGGACTCCTGAGCTGCCCCTGCTCTTGTTTAAAGGCAGCAGCTTCCCGGCTTGCCTTGCCAGAAAGACTTGGCTGATGGGCCCAGCAGCTGCTCTCGGCCACTCCTTGCACCCACAGGTGGGGAAGCCCTAGGTGCTCGGGCCAAGGAGGTGTCCAATAAGTGGGGCTAGTTGGAGGGGCATTAATATCCCCCTCCCCCCAACTCCTTGCCCTTCCCCATGGCTAGAAGGAGCAGAATATACCGAGGCAAGCCGCCCATTTTGCAAGCACGTTGTTTATGGAACCCCTCAATGTCTGGAGTTACGTTTCTTTTAGTCAAGCATGAACTGTCTGGTTGCCCTGGCATCATAGCCTGGCCAGCTACAGCTGAGTTTGCCCATGGCTCTTGTACCTTAACACTGCACCGGACCCATGCATGAAAGCCAGAGGAGATACTCAAGTACGCTTGCCATTGAGAGAAAACTGCCTCCCTTCTGCGTCTGACCTGGATGCTGCTATCCCTTTGGGAGCATGGCTGTCTGTCCCTCCTCTCCTGGTGCCTCGCTGGAAACGCCGAGCATGCTTGCTGTGGTTGATGGCTGCTTAGTACCCTTGCACACGTTGATCATGAGTGCATGATGGACTGATCTTTGGCATAACTAACCAGATGGAGCAGAAAAAGGGAAATATGGTGCAAAATCGATTGATTCTGTGGTGGTGGCTGTGGTGTGGAGTTCCCTCTTCTGCAAATTCTCTGACAAAAAATGCCAGGTTTAGGGCTCGCTTCAGCCACAGCTTGGTGCTAAACAGGCTTGCGTCTTTGCTTGGTCAAATTAATGTGCTGGGCATAGAAGGGGAGAGTCAACTCTGTCCTTTCCTTCCCATTTCCTTTTCTGACCTGTTCCTGCTAATAATGCTGCTCTGAGAAGGGGCTGGCAGAGCTTTTAATCTGCATGTATAACAGAGTAAGCTCTCCTGCCCAGTGAATGAGAGCATGAAGGACTTGTGGCCGATCGCTTTCACAAGTCCACAGACAAAGTCATCTAGGCATATTTTATTTATTTATTTGTTTTTGCTATTGGAGCCGACTTCTAATCATTCTTCATGCAGTAGAGGAGACTTTTGCTATCCACTTCATTTCTGCAAGTGGGGGAGACAGGACAGCGTGAATTTTTATTCCACCCCGTCCTTTTTTCTATCTGGAAAAAAATCACGAAAAGTTACCCAAAGTAGAGCGTTCATGGAAGGACAGTATCCACCACACTCCTGGCTTTATGGGGCTGCTGTGGTATAACCCTGGTTGGGCTCAGGCTTCACCTGGGTAACAAATTCACTCATTTTATGAGTTTGCACAATTCATTAAACTTTTACCTAAGAACACTTACTGAGTTTGCACAGCATGCTACTCCTCCCCCCAAAAGAAATTAAAATGGAAGGTTAGGATTAACCAACCAAGCATGTTTGAACTGACCACATCCACCATTGTGGTGAAGATAGACAGTCACTCTTGGAAGCTGAGCAAGCTTCTCTTGGCCGATTTCCTGGTGCCTGTGAGGTAGAACAGGTTTGCGGATAGGTTTCAGCAGCCTTTCTGCTTGGACTTCCAGACCCCCAGGGACCCCCAGTTGACAGCTGGTTGGAATCTTCAGCTTCCTCCGCCTCCTGTGCCCCATCCAGAGCGCTAGCAGACACTCTTACTGTGCTAGAAAACCATGGATTTTCATCTGTTGGGATCCCAAGAGTTGCAGTCAAGACGGGGTGCTTGCTGTGGGCTCCTCTGTGTTGACAGCCTTGTCCAGCCACTCCTGAGGGTCTGTAGGACCCGAGTTAGGCCGTGTGTCCAGAAACCCACAAGCTCTTTGGGCGAAGGTTAAAAAACAGAGCTAGTCTCCTCCTCCTCCTCCTCCTCCTCCTCCTCCTCCTTTTTTTTTTGCTTGTTTGGAGGATAACATTATTCCTTCTGAAATCTATGCTGCCTCTCCACCAGAAGGCACAGATGATAGACCTCCAGTGACTTGCTCTTAGAAGAGTTGGTATTGTAAGGAATGAGCTTACTTCTGGGCATGGAGCAGATCACAGAGGGGCTGCTTTGTGCTGGTCCATCCCCTTAATTGAGAACACAGCCTCTCCCCCACCCCACCGCCTTGGAGTCCCAACTCCCGCCGTGTCGCTCTGTTTTGGACGGAAGGGCACCTGCATGTCAGAGGGTAGAAGTCGGTCTCCATGGAGCTGCTTGCACTGGGCCTTTCTGACCTAGCGGACATCCGACATCCGTCCTTTGTTTGCCCCTCTTTCCTTCTCTTCTTCAGCAGTCATTCAATGACAAGCGTAAAAAGAACCTCTTTTCCCGAAAATTCCCCTTCTACAAGAACAAGGACCCGAGTGAGCCAGAGACCAGTGATATTGACCGTAAGTATGTGGGGGGGAGGCCGTGTGTGCCACGCGGTGTGGCCTTGAAGAGGGTTCCAAGAGCTGTGGAGAGCCAAGCCGTGGGGCAGCGGGGCAGGCGGCAGCTCTCCTCTCATGCTGAGCTGGGGGAGTCCTCACGTGCCACATTTCGAGGCGCAGCTTCAGGGAAACGGTTGCTGAGTGGAGCTCATTTTGCTGAAAGGTGAATTATGGCTCTTCAGTTGCTTCATGGCTGAACTTGGCCGGAGCGGCTTGGCCCCCCACTGATGCTCTTGGAATCGCCTGGTCCTAGGACAGCCTTCCGATGTGCTACTGACGGTTGTTTTCTCTGTGATTGCCTCCTTACTGCTTGCCCTCGGGGAACTACTCCACAGGGGATCCCTGAAGACATGGGATCAAAAGGCCTGAGTAAGTGACGCTCCCACTCCGCACTCTGCTTCGTCCTTGCCCGGACGCGTCCCCTCTGCGGGGAGCTCAGCCCGTTTCTCTGCTGCAGGTGGATTTGCTTCTGATAGTTCGCCATCTCATTAAAACATTCGTCTTTTGATTTGGGGCTGAGAAGACGCTATACACGCTTTTGGGTTTTGTGAGCATTTGCACATTTAGGTTGGTCTCTGTAATCGGAGGCTCAGAAACGGGAAGCTGACGTGCTTTTAAAGGCTTCTCTCCTGGCAGACCATATAGTGTTAAAGAACGCTGCACTCTTGGTAGAGAAACAGCACCTGCTGGATGAAGACTGCCAGGCCCAGCCTCTTGACAGCCATGATCAGGACCATCTCAAGGCCTTCCTGCCCCCCCCACTGTTTCCCAGACACCGTTGTTACTTTGCAGGTGGCTTTCCCGAAGCACAGACCAAGGTTTGCAACCCACTTCCTAAATATCCCCCCCCCACACACACGGTGGCTCAGTTCCAGTTCAAATTAGACCCATCTACCCCTTAGGTTTTCTCTATAAAATAAGCCCAGGCCTACTGTTATATTGGGATTGTCTTCCCTTGAATATGCAGTCATCCTGTACCACCATGATCCCTCACCCTCAGTGCCCAGGTCCCCACTCACCCCAGCTGCCTCTTGCTGAGGTGCTTGGCCCTGCAGAGCACCAGGCGCGTGTTCCCGGGGGTTTGGCTCTTGGCACGTGACAACGTTTGTAGCCAGACGAGTCAGCGTGGGTCAGAGGAAGCCTCCCAAATTAGTCTAAAAACTGCCTTTCCTTGGGGATAAAACAGTCCTTGGATGGACAGGTAAAATCACAGGAATTATGTGACCACCCAATGAAACTAGCTTTAAATGCATTGGGCCTTCCTCCTGAATCCAGAATAGTGCAGTCGGTATTGCTCAGCCTGTCCCTTTGTTTGGCTTAGCCAGGGAAAGGTGTCCTGTTACAGTCGGAGGCCTACTTAGTTTGGCCAGGCAGCTTAAGGTCTCATCCTCTGAGCGATTCAGGCAGAAGGATTCTCCCAGCTGGGCAACAGGGGCAGTGCTGGTCTTGGTGAAGAGGCATGGCTGTGGTCTTGCTTGAAGGTGTGCTGCAGATAACTCCTCTCCCCCCCCCCGCCCCAGTGTCAAGGGATGCAGAAGTGGCCCTGGGACATTCCTGAGGAGCATTATGGATTTATCTTCTAAGACTGGCCCGGCGCCTCCTGGTATGACAGGTCGCTCAGAAAGCACATAGGCACTGGTCCGCTGGTCTTGAGACCCTGTCAGACCCTATCTCCTCTCACATACCGTGAGGATTGGAGGTCACAGACACCTGTGACTCCATAGATCTCCGTCTCAAAGCCCCCATTCTTAAAACCAAGAAATGGCCCGAAAATGGTGGGTAGGTGTACTTTTGTAGCCAGAGGTGAGTCAGTGGCATATGACTGTTGTCTTCTGGGGATTCTCATACTTACTCCTGACTGCTACCTCATGATTTGGGTTGACGTTTCTGCTTTCCTGCAAAGGAATCTCATGGAGGGACCACCAGGGAGCTCATGAGGGCCACAACTCCGGCTCATTCTGCACTTGCAGAAAGCAGAATGGAAAAGCAGTCTTTTCCAGCCTGCAGGACAGAGTTTCCTTGTTCCTCCTCCATGTGGAGACAACCAGCCTCCTTTATGCCCTACAAGTGGTATTTTGGGGGGCAGGCTGTTCCCCATCACATCCAGTCTCCAGTTAAGGGTCCTTTCTGAACCTGTCCTCCGTGGTTTTATCCAGTCCCCTCCAAGTTATGCCCACCACTCTGTTCTGTGGTAATGAATTGCACAGATCAGCGATTGGGTCCTAGACCCAATCACTGGAAGCAGGCGGGGACCCACCTGTGATAACCTCCTTTCTCTTGAAGTGTGTTATGAATAGTGGGCTTCTCTTTCAGTTTTAGAAGTGTAGACCATGTACGGGAAGAACTCAGCTTACACGTAACTCTGATGTGTGTCAACAGATGCCTGTCAGACACATTATTTTTCTAAGTAATCCATGGAAATGTACTTTTGCCTTTGATGTACATTCAGTTTTTTGATTTCTGGCATTGCTGCTTATTTCTCCTTTGTGCTGTTTTCAGAACATATGACTTCCAATGCCAGCGACAGTGAAAGTAGTTACCGTAAGTGCATTAAATTGTGTTTCTCTTTGCGGGTTTTTTTCCTGCGTACTGATAGAAGTGTAGGGTCACTGTTAAGAGCATATGGATAACGGAGCTGCCCTTGAAGAACACCCTGAAGCTTCAGCTGGGGCAAAATTCAGTGGCGCGGGCAGCTGTGTGCGCTCCTCGATCAGCTGCCTCGGTTGCCAGTTTGCTTCTGGGTCCAGTTCGAGGTGCTGGTAATGACCTATCAAGCCCTACATGGCAAGGGGCTGGGTTATTTGGGGGACTGCCTCTACCCGGTCACGCCTACCCGTCCCATCGGGGCTGGCAGGAGAGGGTCCCGTCTGCCAAGGAATGTCGCCTGAAGGGACCCAAGAGGAGAGCCTTCTGTGCCTCATCCCCTCCGGAGGTTAGACTGGAGCCAACCCTGCCTGCCTGCCTTCCAAAAGGCTGTGAAGCCATGGCTGTGTCAGTGGCCTGGGGATCCAGCTAGGCTTCAGAGTCTGCTGGATGGTTGAACTGACTGATCCGTGACTTAAAATTGGTTTTAAAGGGGTTATTGTTTATTGGTTTTTGCATTTTGCTTATTGGTTGTGTTGTTTGGTTGTTTTAGTTGTGAACTGCCCAGAGTCACGAATGTGAGACGGGTGGCTGTACAAATTGAATAAATAAGTAAATAAATGAATAAAATTCAAATAATGGGGCCCATTTCCTAGGAAGGTCTCCAAGGGAGCTTATCAGATCAGAGGGGTTGGACGGGATGGCCGGAATCGGATTCATGCCATTCCAACTAGAGCGGGGGGGAATAGAGTGGCCGGTTGTTCCTCCTCCCTCCCCTCCCTGTCCAGCAAGCCTCCCTCTGCCAGGCGGACACACAGGAATGGATGTTCCTTCCGTAGCTGTTTCCCCACTGCGGCTGTTGGTCCTGTCGGCTCCCGTGTTGCTCGTCTGTTCTTGTGACGTCAGCTTCATTCTCAGTCAGATAGTTTACCGTAACATCCACCCTTCGCAGTTTTGGGGGTTTTCTTTTGCCCCGTGGAACAGAGACAAGAGGGCTGAGCTGCACTTCCCACGATCTAGTTCTCCAGTCTGGAGTTTGACAGCATTGAACATCCAGTTGCACTTTGCTTTCTTGCAACAGTTCTTACTTTACAGAGCCATCCAGCAGCAGGGTGAAACGCAGAGGAAAAAAAATCAGTTTCCTAGCTGGCTGCTTTGTAGTTGAGGACTTTTTTGCCAGCTCTTCAGAGAAAGACCAATGCTGTCCATTCCAGTAGGGTTCCTGTTCTGAATCAGCTGTTGCAAGCAGCTTTTACCTTTTCTCATTCTGCTGTCTCATGTAGTCTTGATCAGATAAGTGGGGCTTTCAAAACTTCCAAGGCTGCAGCATCTTTTTTCAGGACGGTTCTCCTGTATGCACAATCTAAGCATTTATTCTCTTCCAATCTGGTGCTGATCTCAGTGAGTTTCTTTAACTGGTCTTGGCGAGATAGCAATGGGAAAGTATTTATTGCTGCTCTCTTCTCCAAAATCTGTTATACTCAATTTGAAAATTTCATTAATCCGGAGCCTGGAAATATGGGTCACCTTCCATTTCAGATTTTATTTAGTTAGTTGACAATATTTATAACCCGCCACAATCCCAAAAGACTCCAGGCTGCGTGCAACAGAAAAGCAAAACAGAAAAACCCTAACAATGGTTATTTATTTATTTATTTATTTATGATATTTATATAGCTGCCCATTTCATAAAAATGACTCTAGGCGGTACCTATTCAGAACAACATCAAAAGTAAAAAATAACTCCAGAAAACAAAGATAAACCCAGGATAGGTGCCTGTAGTCAGTCAGCTGGGAGCAGAGGCGTGTTGAAAGAAAGCAGCTTTAACCTGTTTGCAGAATTGCGGCAAGGAAGGGGCTGCACATATTTCTGGGGGCAAACATTGTATAGGGTAGGGGCTATTACAGAGCAGGCCTGCCATCTCATCCATGCCCTGTGGACCTCACTAGGGGAGGGAACCTTGAGTGGGCCACTCTTGAGGACGACCAGATGGGCAGGTTCAGTTCGGGCAAGGCTTGTGCTGCCCGGGTGATGCGCTTTTGGGACTTTAAGGGCAATGACCAGCACTTGGAATTTGGCCCAGAAGCCTCTTGGCAGCCAGTGCTGCGTCTTGAGCATGGGTGCAGCTCTGTGTTAGTGGGCTCTCCAGCCGGTAATCTTGCTGCTGCATTTTATGGAAGTTGTAATGTCCAGGTTGTCTCCAAAGACATAGAGTGCGTTGCGGTAGTCCAGTCAAGGGGGGACCGAGGCAGGCGTTACTGAGGTCAGGGCATCCTAGTCCAAGTAGGATCATAAGTAGCACACCAGCTGAAACTGGGCAACCTCCCCCCCAACACTGCTGCCACCTGCTATTTAAACAGAAGCCCCAAGTCCTGGAGGACTCCTAATTCATGAACCACTTCCTTCCGTGGGTGGGGAGACCATGTCACGTGCAGAGAAGCTACCAGGAGTGGTGTTATTGGAGTGCCCAGCTGCCTGCTGGCCCCTAGCAACTTTTCCCTGGTAGAATTTAATTGGAGCTTGTTTCATCCATAAAGATGCTGCAGCCTTCGGGCACCAGCTCAGGGCTTCCATATCATCACTGGCTTAGCCCAGGGTGGCTCAGTATAATCAAATGTCCTCAGCAGGCACTCGTGAGGCTTCCCCCTGAACTGACAGATGACCTCTCCAGTGCTTTCAGGTAGATGCCAGACCACATGGGGGAGAGCTCTGAGCCCCGAAGGATCCTGTTGCTCTGCTTCCTCTGGGATCCTCTTTAGTTGATTTCCCACCACCTTCGGAATAGCTATCCCTAAAAAGACAATGTTGGAGACACAACCCCGCTGGATCTGGGAATGGCTTCTTTGAGAGAGAGCACCACCGCTTCCTTGGAAGCAGGCATATCCTCCCCTCTCTCAAAAAATCCTATCTGGATCCAGTCATTCACGTCCCAGCTAGCCATCGGAAGGAGCCAGAAGAGTAATGGATCCAACATGCACGCGACTGGGCTCAGACGACAGACGATCCTGTCCACTCCCTCAGGTTCCACAAACTGAAGAGAATCCAAGATCACACCGCAAAACGGCTTCTTTTGAGCAAATAGAAATACAAGAGCCCAGTCAGTCCTTGCTCAGTTTCCTGTGAGCTGCCAGGAAACACACTTGGAAGCAGATCGCTCTGCCTCCAAAGTTGCCAGCCACAGCTGCCGGCAAAACGTGAGGACAGTGGAAAAGTCGATGCAGCCGTTCAGCCAGAAGCTCTGTGAAAGCCCACGTCAGTGTGCGAACAGAGCCATTAGATGGGAATGTGCAGGTGCGTGATGCGCAGAGAAGAGTTGCTGCGTAGCCGCTTTCGTTGCTCGAACGTGTCGGCTTGTGCCCGTGCTCAGCCACGTCCACTGCTGGATTTCCATCACCGTTGCTCTGGGCATCTTCTCACTCGCTTCGTTTCCGCCAGCAGGCACCTGCGGCTGCTGATCCAGTGCTCTGAGCATCTCTGCGTCCCATAGATCAGCTGGACACAAGACTGGCATAATGTCTTTTTGCACATCAACAGTTTTGCATTCTAATTCCAACATCTACCTGTAGGAATAAACATAGACCTAGGATTCTTTGATCATCCTGACAAACTGGGCACAATCCATAGATTTTCCCCCTCCTTATTACATGTGTTTAACTTTTCTTTCGGTCTGACTGCAAAATCACAGAATTGGAAAGTATCGTAGAGGCCATGTAGTCCAACCCCATGTTTAGTGCAGGATCCGCTACAGAATATCTGGAAGAGAATTATCCTGCTTCTGTTGGAAGGCCTCCAGAAAAGGAGATCTCACCTCTTCATGTGGCACCTGTTCCTTCTGACATCCAGCCTAAAATGCTTCCTAGCAGTTTTAACCCGCTGGTTCTGGTCCTGCCCTCTGAGCAACGGAGAACAAGTTCACATCTTCTTCTGAGGAATATAGTTGTAGACTACCATCACGTCTCTCCTTAGTCTTCTGTTCTGCAGGCTAAACATTTCCAGATTTTTTATCTGTTCCTCATAGGGCTTGGTTTCCAGATTCTTCACCTTCTTGGTAGCCTTCCTCTGAATTTGCTGTCCTCTTGAACTGTGGTGCCCAGAACTGGTCCAAGTGGGGTCCAGCCAGGCGCTGGAATGGAATGGAACAGTTATTTCCCACGAACCAGACTCTATCCTCCTCCTGTTAATGCACCCTAAGGTAGCCTTTGTCTTTTTAGTGGCTGCACCACACCGCTGGCTCACGTTCGCCTTGTAATCGACAGGGACACCCAACTCCCTTTCGCATATACTACTGCCAGCCCAGGCCTTCCCCGTCTGGTACTTCAGTTTTTCTTTCCCAGGCGTAGAACTTGGATCTGTCCCTGTTGAAATCCATCCTGTTTGTTTCAGCCCACTGCTCCAACCTGAATCTTCTCTCTTAAAACATTAACCACTCCTCCCAGTTTTGTGTCGTCTGCAATATTCAGCCCCCTCCACCAAGTCACTGGCAAACATCTTGAGCAGAAGAAACTCCCATAACACATCATTCTTTTCTCTGTTGCTTACCCAGATATTTTTAACAGGATTTCCATTCTCTGATTCCTGGATTTCTGTGCAAGAATATTTTTCTTTGCATAGGATACATCTCCACCCTTTCTGTAACGTCTGTTTTATTTAGTAAGTTGTAGCCTTCCAGTGCTACGGCCAGTCACTAGTATCATCCCACCATTTAATGATGTTGCCTCCCCCACAGCAGAGTTTGGATTTCTGGTTCCTGCATGCTATCGCCCCCGAGTGTCCCATAAAACCCTTGCGTCTCCATCCTGCCTCCCTTCACGCTCTGCTTCCTTGGCCCCAGTCTGGGCTTTTCCTGCCCAGCCTCTTTTGCTCTGGTCTAAAGCTCTCCTGGTGGGACGGGCAAAGCCTGCCTGCCTTCCCAAGGTTTGTGAGAGAGAACCCATCTCTCCCCAGGAATCCCTCATGAAGGAAGCTGAGGGCAGTATCGTAACTGTCAAAGAGGGGTGGAGATGTATATCATAAAATAGGTTGTCTTTGGATTGTCCAATAGATGGAACACCGTAAAAGACCCAATTTGATTATGGATGAGATCTTGGGTCAGATGTGCCAGGGGCTGTCCAGTTGGACTTGTGCAGTTTTTATTTATTTATTTTCAAATTTGTATGCCGCCCATCTCCCCCAATGGGTGACTCTGGGCGGCTCACAATAATAAAAAAGAAGAAAAAGTTATCAGACATTGATGGGTTGGAGCTGAGAAAGGACTGCGAAGAAAAACGCTGTTGCTTGTTTCAACTGCAACTTGCTGCTCTCTTTCCATTTTGTAGCTGGGTTGAGCTGGAGCACTTTTGGTCAAGTGTCTGCAGCATCACTGGGCATTTTAAGAAGAGCCAAATGGCCCACCAGGGGCCTCCATGGTGTTTCTGCACCAGTCTTGCAGCCACTGCATTAAGTAACAAAGTTCATTTCAGTAGACTGAAAAATAAAGCCCTTTCACTGAAGCATTATTGATCAAAGAAAAAATAAAAACTTCAGTATGAAACTTAAGGTAGTGCAGTAGAATCGTATTAAAAGGATGATCTTGCTCCCTTATTAGTGAGTGTCTCCATTGTTCTCCAGCATTAATCTGTAGTTCATTTCCCTCGCGGAAAATGGTGGGCTGAGGCCGTCTGGGAAGGTTTAGGGGTTTATCTCAAAGCTGCTAGTGACTGGGAGAATTCCTGGCTGGAAAGGGGCTGATGGATTGAGTGCCTCATGTAAAAAAGCTTGTTAAGCAAGTAGGACATTACAGTCTCTGATTGTCTCTCTCTGACTTTCTAGGTGGCCAGGAAGAATACGTCTTGTCTTATGAGCCGGTCACACAGCAAGAAGGTTTGTACCATTTGGCCCGTGAACGAACCCGCCAGAGGTTTTCTTAGCGGAGGCCTTGCCTGCTGGCTGGGCTGTAGATGTCCTTGCTTGATAGTGCTTAGCATCACGAAGAGAAATGCCCACCCTGTGCTGTGTGGCTCTTCTGCCCAATAAGGGCAGGTCAATCAAAACTGCGTCATGATTTTGAAAAGGGCTGGAGGACAGAAAAAAATGGAACGGTGCTCAAGGAACATGTATTTCATTGCTGCTTTTCATGTGGCTAATCAGCTACCTGTTTTGTTAGATACCTACTTATGGCATTTATAAGTAGTTGTTGGAAGAACAGAGGGGTCGCCCCACACGCCTGTAGTCTGAAACGCTATTGGTCCTCCTCCTGGTTGGGGAGCCCGGCTGATCTGGGCCAGTGGCCTCAGGCACCTCTGGCACCCAGCTCCCAAGCTCTGCCTTGGGGTGGACCTTCTCTGGGGTCCTTTGATCATTTTTGCGTAGCTTAGCAAGCAGGATTTAGACCATGACTGGTGTATTTTCTTTTAAGTTACTGTGGAATATATGAACAGATAGAAATTTACTGGGATTTAACTTCTCCTTTGTTACCTAGCAGGATACTGGGGCTTGACAGACAAATACGCTCTCATTCCTTCCTCATCTGTTTGCAATCTGTCCCTGTTTGCAGTTTTCATAAGTGCAGAAAATCTCAGCTCCCACAGGTAAAATGCTGAAAACTGTATGAAGGGCCTAGATTTGTAAAAAAGCACTGAATCTTCTTTTCAAGTACTTCAGCGTCCTTGTCCTCACTGTGGTTTGTTGTAGCAACCTGTCCATATTATCCTGTCCAAATTCTTAGCTTTTCTTTTGCCATATTGATTTTTCTGAAGAAGATACGTTTTCAGTTTTGCCTAGCGTGCTGGTGTTTATCTTCTTTACATGTTTGGTGGGGGCCATTTTGTAAGTATCATCTGCCAATACATCATAAGGAGTAAAGAAAGAAGCATCACATTCTTCAGTTTATACAGATGTCACAATGTTTTTGTTATTGATTACCACCCAACCTCTCTGGGGGAGAAGATTTATGTGATTTGTTACCATATTTTCACACATTTTGGTAAATAGATGTCTAATATACTTCACCATTTTGAAGGACTACATCTAGCAGTTTTCAGCTCACGGTTGATAGTACAATATTCCTGTTTACTTTTTTCAGTAATGCAAGTCCTTTCTTAAGTAGCATTTCCAGGATAAGCTAACAGATTTTAAGTAGTTACTAAGATAGCAGTAGTGGTCATTTTTATTTAGTGGGCCCTTATAATGAAGTGCCAGGCAGATCAGTATACATATAATTCAGTATCAACCTCGTAGCAAATACTGCATAAGGAAAGTTAGAGTGTAACGGCTGAAATACAAAGGAACTTAAGACTTGCAGCGGAAGCCTAAAGCAGCCAAAAGGAAAAAGGACGGGCTCCACTGGGAGAGGGTGGGAGAAGAGCAGCAGATGACCAGGAGAGCACAGAGTTCCTCAGCTCCTGTAGGGCTTCCGTCTTTTCCCCAAAAGAGAGCTGGGTTCAGAGGGACCTAAGCAGAACCCTTGACAAAAAGAGGAAGCGTCAGCCCAAGGTGAGCTAAGGGATGGCTACAGGCTTTCGTGGACCAGGACAACTACATCTGAGAGTCTTGAAAAGGCTTGTGGTTGTAACCTCATGAAATCATGGAGGCTGGAAGTAGTGCCAGAGGATTGGAGAATGTTACTTGTATCTTCAGAAAGAGGAAAAAAGAGGATATGGGTAATTACTGACACGGTCAGCTTGATATCGATGCCAGGCAAAATCTTGGATGTGATTGTGAAGCACTGAGCATTTAGAAGACTATACTGCATGCATTTCTCAACCTGATCTCTCCCTCTTCTTTTTCCCCTTTTGGCCAAGTGACCAGTTCAGTTAGTCTTGAGAATGCAGTGGACATAGTGAACCACTTGAAGAAGTCAGAAAAAATGACTACACAAGGCTGGACTTTAGTTAGTTAGTTAATTGGTCAGTTTCCGCCCATCTCCCCGTAATGGGGGACTCTGGGCTGCTCACATGATCCATTAAAACAATATATATAAAATTACAGAAAACATAAAAACGATATAAAGCATTACCAAAAAAAGAAAAAGTCCAAGAGGCTGGTGGTTTCCAGAGATGCAGACGAAAAGCTTCTAAGGGGCTAGCTATCCCCACCCTTGATGTC